AGTATCTTCCTCACCCAAATAAGCATATTTCAAATGATTTGGTAAAGGCTTCAATTCCAACATCGGTGGTTCTTCAATTGATGGCCTAGAAGGCTTCAAATTTCTCTCAGATAAATCCAGCGACTCAAATGGTCTTCTTTGACAAACAGCCACTTGATCGGTTTCTCCCAGTAATACTGGTGAATCATCATCAACCTGCTCAACCTCCAATGCAGCGTTTGTGACATCCTCCTCCTCTATTTCCTCATAAGCATTCTTATTAAGTTCTTCCAACACAAGAACATCTAATACACCCACGCCGAACATTCCTCAACCTCATCTGGAAAACGCATGGCATTGAGTACATCGAATGTGACCTGCTCATCATCAACTCGCATAGTAAGTTTACCTTTTTGCACATCAATCAATGTCTTTCTAGTGGCTAGAAATGGTCTACCCAAAATAATGGGTACCTTCTTGTCTGCTTCATAATCTAAGACCACAAAATCCACCGGAAAGATGAATTTATTAACACGGACCAGAACATCTTCACTTTTTCCCTCCGGATGAACAAATGATCGATCGGCAAGTTGAAGGGTGACTGTAGTTGGCCTAGCTTCACCAATACCTAGCTGCTTAAAAACAGACATTGGCATCAAATTTATGCTTGCACCCAAATCACACAAGGCTTTACCAAAATAAGTGTTGCCAATCGAACATAGGATTGTGAAACTCCCTGGGTCCTTCAATTTAGGTGGTAAAGTGCTTTGAGAAATCAGCCCACACTCTTTTGTAAGTGCCACTGTCTCGACCTCACCCAAACGCCTCTTCTTGGAAAGAATTTCTTTCATAAATTTTACGTAATTCGGCTTTTGCTCAAGAGCTTCAACTAATGGGATATTGATATGAAGTTGTTTCAGCATGTCAAGAAGACTTCTCAAATTGCTTGTCCTATTGTTTCTTCTGAAATCTCTGAGGAAAGGGCGGTGGCGGTCTGTTCTGGCACATTCCTGTGGCTTCGTCCTGCTGCCTCAACACTGCAGAATTCTGTTTGTCAGCGAACGTAGATTCTGATGTTGCTGGTCTGAATTGTGCTACTGTTGCATTACTGCAGCAACACTAGGCTCTACCTCATCTTGACTTTGTACAGGGTTCATGCGGCCTTCCTGCCTTTCTTCATTTTGGATCGAAGAGGGCTCTCCATCCAGCTCGTTTTTCTCCTGTGGCTGCTCCAATGCCTTTCCACTTCTCAATAAAATGGCTTTGCAATGCTCCTTGCCTTCCCGCCTAGGATCTTCCGTATTGCTTGGAAGAGTGCCCTGGGGGCGATTAGTTAAAGCATTTACAAGTTGCCTAATTTGAGTTTCCAAGCTTCTCAAGGTTGCATCATGGCTCTGCATTTTAGCCTCGTTCTTCGTTATGTACTCCTTAAGGAAATTCTCCAAGGAATTTGAATTTTCACCCGCTTGAATCCGCATTGGTTGAGCTGGTTGTGGTAAACTCGACTGCTGAGTTGGTTTATTATAAGGGGGAGCGCCACTAGAACCTACCCCTTGATTACTCCAAGAGAAGTTAGGATGTTGTCTCTATCCTTGATTGTATTGATGGCTGGTAGCATTGTTACGGTTGTAGTTACTCACATAACAAGCTGAAGTGGGATTCGAAGGACATTCCTCAAATTGGTGCCCCTCTCCACAGTATACGCAAGAGAGTGTGAGGGCCTGGACAGAATTCACTCCAAGTGTTCATGGTTTTGAACATGTTGGTCAAATTGGACACTTGAGTCGAAAGAGCGGTAATTGCATATACTTCAATAACTCCCGGTGTTTTCCTTGTAGGTAGTCTCTCGGTTGGCCATTGATAATGATTTGTGGCCATTCTCTCCAGAATCTCATAGCCTTCATTGTAAGATTTTGCCAAAAGAGCACCATTAGCTGCGGCATCCACCATCACTCTCGTTTGTTCATTAAGACCATTGTAAAAAGTCTCCATTTGAATCCAATGGGGAATACCATGTAATGGACACTTTCTGAGTAGCTCCTTAAATCGTTCCCATGCCGTATAAACTGACTCTCCATCACCTTGATGAAAAGAGGTAATGTCATTTCTCAACTTGGCGTTCTTTGTCGGAGGGAAATACTTCATAAGAAACTTCTTAGCCATATCATTCAATGTAACAATGGAATCAGCCGGTAGGCTATTAAACCAAGCTCTAGCTCGATCCCTCAAAGAGAAAGAGAAAAGTGTCAGCCTTAAAGTCTCTGGAGGAACTCCCGGTAGCTTGAATATATCGCTAACTTCCATGAATAATCTCAAATGTTGATGAGGATCGTCTGTCGCCAAGCCGCTGAATTCTCCCACGGTCTGTAGCATTTGAAACATGACCGGTTTAAGTTCAAAGTGTGGGGCCTGGATGTTTGGCCGAATAATCACAGGATTCAGCCCATCAAGAACCGGGACTGCAAAATCTCTGATAACTCGATCACGGTCATCAACCACGAATGGTCTCTGGGCTGGTTCAAGAGCATTAAGTTGCTGCCCCTGATTTAGTAAGATCCCCTGAGCGTCTTCCTCAGCCATTTCATGTATGTGAGCAAATCCTCGCTGCTCCCTTCTTCTCCTTCTCATAGTCCTTTCAATTTCTGAGTCAAGAAGGAATAACTCAGGTTCTTGCATACAAGATGTTCCAAAGACCTGCCAACAATCAGAAACTCTGATGAAAATGAACAAAAATACTTGAATAGTAAATTACTTTAACAATAAGATTCAAATAGTAAAATGATGAATAACGAAGTATCGTCCCACAGGGATTAAGTGTTTTTGAAATCAAATTGCTAAGTTAATTCTATTCAAGTTTTTAAGAAGAAAACTAAAGTTGATTTTAAGATGTTAAAAAACTAATAATAATCTGACTGTAAGAAAAATGAACAACAAAGATAAAACTAATTAATAAAAAAATGTGCAAATAAAATTGGCCAAAGTCACTGTGCGTGGCTCTCAATTGCTAAACTGTCTCCTATCAATGCTGCGCGATGCTGCAGCAATGGACGACAACGAAACTTCCTTGTTAACCAGATTTACTACAGCAGGGATTTTCCAATCCTCTGTCTACTGATCTTAAAAGCTAAACCCAACAAATCCCTTTGCAAATCTAGACTCTAAAATCAGAGAATGAAGCTCTAAATCATATGGTTATGCAAGACACAATACATTCCTATATCATGTGAATCACAAATCTAAAACAAGATCTAAGAACTTGCACTATTCAAGCTGTGTCCACTCAACTAAATCTTTCCAGATCTAATCAAAGCTATGCTCCCCTATTATGATTTCCCAATCATAGTTAAGGCACAAATTCAGCTAACTTGAATAAACAAAGAAATAATCATCAGATCCATTCAACATCAACTAACATTTCAATATTTAACAACTCAACAATCTCAGCCAACAAATCATAATCTTATAGAGTTATATATGGATTCGAGTTCAGCTTTATAGAGAAACGTAAATGTTCTTCAAAAAGGTAAAACATAGTATTGTGAGTAAGAAAAACTAAGGTGATGAGGAGAGAATCCGAATCCCCCTTTTCCAAGGTTTCTTCTAGCTCTTCATGCATCAACAATGAACCTTCCTTTACATTCAACACCCTGTGATGTTTTCTTCTTCTTCTTTCCAGTACTAGAGCTGGTACTTGATTAGAGAAATGGAGGTGGTTTCCTTTTCCAAGTTTAGCCGCCTCAACGTTACAAAATATGACAAAGGACACCTTCTTTCTTCTTAGCTGCAGGTACTTATTGTACCCTAATTCCACGTGGCAGCACATGAGGAAGCCTCCAATGAGTGGCTCAATCAGCACCCTTCACGGACAAAATCAGCCCATTAACCAGCTCAGGTCCAGCTGTCAGCAAAACACACGTCTGACCCAGCTTATCTTGTTGCAGCAATGCACAACAATGCTGACTAGGATTCCTTCATACTCCAAAAAATGAAAAGCTGCTCAAAGCTCCAAACGACCACGTTTTCTTAAAGCTGAGATTAACCACAAAGCGCACCTGAATTAGCTCTTTTTAAATGCTAATCACGATAGAGAGAATTTATGAATCACAAATAACTAAAAATAATTAACAAGACAAAATATAGGAGAACACTAATACTAATTACCCTCTAGGTAATAATTTAAGCCTGGGAAATGCTTAATTAACTCTATTTTCATAGAGTTATCAGTTGGCTCGACCACCTCTTGTGAGTCGACAGTTTTTTTTTTGTGGGGGGCCCATGTCGGGCCTTAGTACCCCCTCGCCTAAGCTGAGTTTTGGAACTCGGCTTCAGCGTACCATTGTCAAAGCTTCGACGTAGATGGTAGAATATTGAGCGTAGGAAATCTACTTGTTGCTTGGGTATGGTTGAGCCAGAGCCCCACCGCCCTTGTAAGTTCGTGGGGACCTTATTGTCCCCTCGCCAAAAACAAAGCCTTGGACTTGTTTTTGGCGCATCGTCGTCGACGTATCGACGATTTTAGTCGACGTATCGACGAATTGATATGGTCGATGTATCGACAGGAGCAGTAGACAGTTGTACCCACGTAATAAGAATCGGTCGTAAGGCAGAATTTGTTTGATTAATCACATAATGCCCGTTGCCTTTTATTCATGTAGAATTTACAAGTTGGCTTTTTGGCCTGTCAGAAACGAGAAATGAAACATAACTTAATTAAAAACAATAAGTTTGCTCTGTTAGGTCGACGTTTCCCGTGATTACTGGTAGTAGACCTTCAACTGGTCCGCATTCCAAGTGTGCTTGATGTCTCGACCGTCGAGCTCTACCAGTCAGTATGACCCATTGGCCACGACCTCTCTTATTCTGTAGGGCCCTTCTCACGTCGGGCCCAGGGCTCCGGAGTTCTTGGGTTTGGTGTTGGGGGTTACCACCCGTAAAACTAGGTCCCCGACCTCGAAGCGCTTTTGCTTGACCTTCTTGTTATAATACCTGGCAGTTTTTGCCTGGTAGGCGGCGAGCCTTAGCTATGCATCTGTGCGCCGTTCTTCCAGGAGGTCGAGCTCCAAGCCCATCAGCTCGGCGTTCTTATCCTCCTCGTACCGGGTTACCCGGTTGGTCGAAACGGACACCTCAACTGGAAGGATTGCCTCGACCCCGTATGCCATCGAGAATGAGGTTTCCCCCGTAGTAGTTCTACTCGTTGTTCTGTAGGCCCACAGCACTTTTGGTAGCTCGTCGGCCCATTTGCCTTTGTAGGCGTCAAGACGTCGTTTGAGTGTGACTTTAATTATCTTATTGACCGCCTCGACCTGCCCGTTGGATTGGGGATATACGACGGAGGAGAAATTCTTGTGGATCCCTAGTAGCTCACAAAACTGGCTGGTGTTGTCATTGTTGAACTGTTTTCCATTGTCGGATATGAGAGAATGTGGCACACTAAACCTGCAAACTATGTTGTTCCATATGAAGTTTGTACACTTTTCCTCTGAGATGGTCGTCAATGGCTCGGCTTCTACCCACTTTGTGAAGTAGTCGACCGCGACAATAGCGAACTTATAACCCCCCGGGGTTTTGTGCAGGGGACTGATAAGGTCAATTCCCCATTTAGCGAAGGGCCAGGGAGACACTATAGATGTTAGGTCCTCTGAGTGCAGTCGAGGGATGAGGGCGTACCTCTGGCAACTCTCGCACCTTTTCACGTACTCGGCTGTGTCTTTCTTGAGACTTGGCCTGCAATACCCCTGCTGAAGTATTTTGTAGGCTAGGGACTGTCCCCCCGCGTGGTTCCCACATATCCCGTTGTGCACCTCAGACAGCACTCTCTTTGCCTCTTCTGCGCCGAGGCACCGGAGCAGGGGCGTCGAGTAGCCCCTTCGATAGAGGAGGTTGTCGTGCATTGTGTATCTCGCCGCTTGATACTTCATCTTTTTTGCCTGCTGCCTGTCCTCAGGGAGTTCACCGTCGACCAAGTACCTGATGATTGGGTCAATCCAGCTTGGCTGGTAATCCACCGGCGCGACCTCGGGCCTCTTTGCCATGGTCGGGGCTTTTAAGACCTCCACGGGAACCAGGTTCAAGAGCTCAGCATCTCTCGACGTCGCCAACTTGACGAGGGCGTCGGCGTTGCTATTCTCTGCTCTCAGTACTTGCTGTATATCATAGGCCGTGAGCTTCCCCAGGGCTTCCCTGACCTTCTTTAGATACGCGGCCATTTTCTCATCCCGGGTCTGGTACTGGCCCTTCACTTGATTCACAATAAGCTGTGAATCGCTGAAGATGTCTAAGTTCCCCGCTTTTAGGTGCTCCGCTAACCGGAGCCCGGCCAGCAGCGCCTCGTACTCAGCTTCGTTATTGGATGCGAGAAATTCAAACCTGATGGCCGAGGTGATCTTGTGTCCCTCAAGTGTGTGTAATACCAGTCCTGCCCCACTGCCATTGTCGTTGGAGCTCCCGTTGATGTAGAGCTTCCATCGTGGTGGTTTGTCAACTTCGCCGACCTCGTCCGGCAGCCCCGTGAACTCTGCCACAAAGTCTGCCAGGGCTTAGCCCTTGATGGTAGTCCGCGGCTTGTAGTCGATGTCAAACTGGCTGAGCTCTATGGATCATTTCAAGAGTCGACCGGAGGTGTCGGGCTTCTGTAGCACTTGCCTGAGTGGGTGGTTGGTCAAGACCTGAATGCTATGGGCCTGGAAGTAGTACCGCAACTTCCTTGCTGTCACAACTAGTGCGAGGGTGAGCTTTTCCATCTGGGGATACCTCGTCTCTGCGTCAAGGAGGCACTTGCTAGTGTAATACACCGGCAACTGCACATTCTTCTCTTCGCGGATCACCACCGAACTAATGGCGTGTTTCGAGACCGCCAGGTAAAGGCTCAGCACCTCTCTGGTCACCGGTTTAGACAGCAGAGGGGGTTTCCCAAGGTGTTCCTTTAGTCGGTGGAACGCCTGTTCGCACTCTTCCGTCCATAGGAATGGCTTGCTTCCTCTCAGGGTATCAAAGAATGGTACGCACTTGTCCGTAGATTTAGAGATAAACCTGTTAAGTGCGGCTACACAACCTGTCAGCTTCTGGACCTCCTTGGGCTTCCTTGGCGATCCCATGTCGAGGAGGGCCTGAATCTTCTTTGGATTGGCCTCGATTCCTCGACTACTCACCATGAAACCCAAGAATTTCCCTGAAGCGACGCCAAAGGCACACTTGTGGGGGTTTAGCTTCATTTTGTACGTCCTGAGGACGCTGAACATTCTCCTGAGGTCCTCCACATGGTCCTCGGTCTTCATGCTCTTCACCAGCATGACATCGACGTAAACCTCCATTGACTTTCCTAATTGTCCCGCGAACATCTTGTTGATGAGGCGTTGATAAGTTGCCCCAGCGTTTTTGAGACCGAAGGGTATCACTTTGTAACAGTAGAGACCTTTGTCGGTGACAAACGTCGTGTGTTCTTCATCGCGGTTGAACATTGGTATCTAGTTATACCCAGAGTATGCGTCTATGAAGCTTAGTAGTTCGTGTCCCACCGTAGCGTCAACCAGCTGATCGATTCGGGGCAGGGGGAAGCTGTCCTTGGGACATGCTTTGTTCAGGTCGCTGAAGTCGACGCATGTTCGCCATTCGCCGTTTGGCTTCGTTACCAGCACGGGATTCGAAAACCACCTGGGGTATGAAGCGACGCCAAAGGCACACTTGCGGGGGTTTAGCTTCATTTTGTACGTCCTGAGGACGCTGAACATTCTCCTGAGGTCCTCCACATGGTCCTCGGTCTTCCTGCTCTTCACCAGCATGACATCGACGTAAACCTCCATTGACTTTCCTAATTGTCCCGCGAACATCTTGTTGATGAGGCGTTGATAAGTTGCCCCAGCGTTTTTGAGACCGAAGGGTATCACTTTGTAACAGTAGAGACCTTTGTCGGTGACAAACGTCGTGTGTTCTTCATCGCGGTTGAACATTGGTATCTAGTTATACCCAGAGTATGCGTCTATGAAGCTTAGTAGTTCGTGTCCCACCGTAGCGTCAACCAGCTGATCGATTCGGGGCAGGGGGAAGCTGTCCTTGGGACATGCTTTGTTCAGGTCGCTGAAGTCGACGCATGTTCGCCATTCGCCGTTTGGCTTCATTACCAGCACGGGATTCGAAAACCACCTGGGGTATAAGACTTCTCAGTTGAAGTTGTTTCTGATCAGCTTGTCGACCTCTTCCCGCAGGGCCTCGTATCGCTCAGCGTTCATGGGTCGACGTTTCTGTCTCTTAGGCGGGCATTTCTCATCGATATTCAGCCTGTGACACATGATGTCAGGGCTTATCCCTTCTATGTCTTCATGGGTCCAGGCGAACACGTCGAGGCTTCCTTTGAGAAACTCGACCAGTCTCTCGCGGGCATGTGTCCCCAATTTAGAGCCCATCCTTAGCGTTCTCATCGGCTCTCTCTCATCAATGGGGACCTTGATTAACTCCTCGACCAGTCTCGTGCCAGTCTCTTCTCCTGGGAACCGTGGATCCAAATCGTATTCTTCCGCCCTGGCCTCGACCATTCTCAGTTCCCTCCGTACCTAGTCGACTTGGCGTAGTGGCGGACCGTTTCTGAGTACGTAAGCCTCGACTCGTACTGGTTTCCTCGGACCTTGCCGATCCCATTGGGGGTTGGAAACTTCATCATCTGGTGGTAGATGGATGTCATTGCCCTCAAAGCCCTCAGCGTCGGGCGCCCTATGACCGCGTTGTATTGGTCGCCTCCCTTCACCACCAGGAACTTTGACATGACAGTCGAGGTGCGCGGTCGATCTCCAATGGTCATAGGCAGCTCGATCGCCCCTTCCGGGATGATGCTGTCCCCTGTGAAACCGTACAGGGGCTACGCACTGTTTTGCAGCCTTGTGCGGGGGATCCCCATCTTGTCTAGGCAGTCCGAGTATAGGATGTCCACGGAACTGCCGTTGTCGACCAGGATGCGGCAAACCGAGTGGTTACCGATCATGGCCTTGACGACCAAGGCATCACTCTGGGGGAAATGTACCCCTCTCACATCGGCCTCTAAGAAAGTGATCTCGGCGTCCTCGTATCGCGCTGCCTTAGCCTTACGTCCGGAGACGTTCATAATCCTACGGCTGAACTTCTCTTTTGCCTCTCGAGCGTACTCCTTCTGTGCGCGTCGAGAGGTGCCGCCGAGGTATGGTGCCCCGAAGATCGTTCTTATAACGCCGACTGGTTCGGGCGGGTTGTCATGCCTCTGCTCTTCCCGTCGGTCATTGTTGCGTCTGTTGTTGTTGTTCAGACGGTCAGCTCGGTAATCGTTAAGCCTTCCCTCTTAGATCAACCTCTCGACCTCATCCCTTAGGTCGTAGCATTCGGCCGTAGTGTGCCCACTTTCGCCATGAAATCGACAGTACTTGTTTTGGTGTCTCTTTGCTGGGTCAGACTTCAACGGCTGCAGTCGACATAGGACCTGGAGATGACTTATCTCATGGTAGACGTCTTCGATCCCCATAATTAAGGGTGTGTAGGCGTCGTACCGTTGCGGCTTCGGCCGCTTGTTCTCCCCCTGACTCGTCGAGGTGTTGCCGCCTCTATTACTTGGAGCCGGGTTATACCTCTACTCGGCTTGCACCTGAGGGGGACCTCGGCGCTTATTACCGTTGTTTTGGCCGCTCGCCTGCCCTACCTCTTCCTTGGCAGGGGCTGTCACCTTGCTCTTCAGGGCCTTCTTAGCCTTCTCGGCGTTGATGAACCCCTGTGCCCTTGTCAGGAATTCCTGGTAGGTATAGGGCGGCCTCCGGTCGAGGTCCGTGCTGTAGGGGATGTCCTTCTTCATACTCGACAGTGCCCCCATCAAGGCCACCTCATCGGAGATTCCCTCAGTGGCGGCGACCTGCTCCCCAAACCGGGCTATCCAGTCCTTCAGGGACTCGTTGGGTCCCTGGTACCCTCTTGAGAGGTTTTGTTTGGGTGGGATGTATTTTTTGACACCTATGAACTGAGTCAGAAAGGCGTTCTTCAAGTCATCCCAACTGGTGATGGAGTTTGGTTTCAGAGATCTGCACCACCTTCTCGCAGAATCGGAAAGGTGATTCCTGAATGCTCGGCACATGACCTCCTCGGGGTATCCATGCAGGACCATATGTCCTGTGTACACCTCCAAGTGGTCGTCCGGATCACTCCTTCCGTCATATAACGAAATGAGAGGCGATTTGTACTTGTCTAGTAGTGGCACCCGAATGATGCTTTCTGTGAACGGGTAGTCGTGCGACGTGTACATCTTGGCGTCAACATTAACCGCCTCGGCTACCTTCCCCACAACTTGCTCGAAGTTGTTTAATCGACTTCCAATATGCTTTTCTAGCCTAGCCATCTTCTTGGCCAGAGCCTTATTATCGGCTGCGAGCTCTTCCTCTCTCGCCAGCTGCACGGCTTTCCCGCGTCGGGCGTCGAGCCTCGTCCTAAGGTCCCCGCTGTGCGCAGATGAAGACTCTACGGGGACAGCGTTCCTCTTATTCGCATCCTGCTGCGGTCGAGGGGGCGCATCCCTGTTATTCACAACTAGCGCCGCGGCCTTCTCCCACGCTTTCCTCCGTGCTGCCCGTTGTCTGCTCCCCACAGACCTATTCGACTTGGTCGGACGGGGATCGTTGGCTCGACTATCATCGACTTCCTCGGCGTCACCGTGTTGGTCACCAATCCCTTGGCCCCCAACAGCGGCATTCACCGGGTTCATCGGTGCATCCTCAAGCGGTGGCATTGGGTTATGCCCTTGATCCCGCCCCACAAGGGCCGTAGCCATCCTTTCCATGGCTGCAGCCAGCATTTCGACCTGCTTTTGGAGCTGGTCGATGCGGTCTGGGGGGCTCCCGGCAGCCGGTGGGAGCGGATTCGTTGAGGTCCCAGCGGCGGCGAGATTTTGGGTCGCCTGACTCATTGGGTTAGCCGCCAGTAATCGGGTGTTCCTGGGAGGCATAGTTGGTTAAGAACTGGATTGAATTTCTGGGCTTAAGGGGCCCTCCTTCTAGCGCTAATTGTTGACGGTGTATTTCCGGCAACTCGTGATTACTCTCCCAGAACACTCACGTTGACACTCACGGTTTGATTAAGGGTTAAGACTGAAAAGTAATGTAAAGGAGACAATAATTTTATAGTGGTTCGGCAATAATTCTTTGCCTAATCCACTTATGCATGCACTAATCTTTCAACCAGTTACAAACTCTCTTTCTTTTGCAATCAAATGGTGTCTAACCCCCTTCCCGGTTTTCTTGGCTCTATTTATAGGCCTTTACGTGTGAATACTTATTCCCCGTTCCCAAGGAGGAAGTCATCTTCTGCTTCCCTCTTCGAGTTGACAAGACCACCGGTAGAGAAGACCGACAGTGTCCCCTCGGCGTCGCGGCCTCTGAATGCTGAGTCACCTCGTTCGGCGCCTCTTCCCACATATGGCCCTTGACGTAGAAGGCGCATTAGCCTCGGCCCTTCCCTCGACACCAACGGCCGATCCTCTCTGGGGAATCCTCAGCGTCTGTCGTGCGAGAGAGTGGTCGACCTCTCCACCATGGTGTAACACTATTATTTCACTTTTACATTAACACTATAGTAAACGAGTAATATATTTTGTTAATTTGCTCATATCAAGTTGAACAATGTGACTTCTTTTTTCCTTTTTTGTCCTTTGTTTAGGACGTCCTTCACAAAATTCCCTACTTAACTTCAAAAGAAAAAAAATAATACTACTAACATATTATATTGATCATAAACACGTAATTAAATATGATATTATCATGACATACAAATTATTATCAATTTTTAGTCCATTACTCAATTATAAACATATTTATATATATATATATGTTGATCTTAATATTTTCAAATATATTTATTGTTTGACAAATTACTTGTTCATTTTTAATAATATATATATATATATATATATATTTACATAAGGCTAATATTGATTTGTCATACTACTTGTACACAATGATAAATTTAAGAAAATTAACGGTGTGGTGTGCGCGATTCTAAACTGGTTTCTATAAGAAGAGTGGATGACATTCACACTTTTGTATTTATTTGCTCGTGTGCTTAATTTTTTTCATTTTTAAGAAACCTTATTTAAAGTTTTTCTTATTAGCTATTTTTTTCCAATTATCCATGTTAAATACTTTTCCATCATTTTTTTCAAATATAGTCTTAAGCAATACTTTTTTTTTAAACTATTTTCCCTAATAAATTATTTTAAAAGAATTAATTTGAATAGTGCTCCAAAGGAGTTTTCTCATGTTGCTACGTGAAAGATCCTCCCTTTCCTTCCTCTTTTTTGTTTTGTTTTTCATTACCGACGAAATGTTTCGTCTAAATTTTACTTATTTTATTATCATTTTGCACTAAATTTACTTCTTAAATAAAAATGCTATAAATAATTCGAATAAAGAAATAAAATTAAACAAAAATTCCAATCAAGAGATTATTTTTTATAAAAAAGATAATTTTGTCTTTTTCTGTCTCAAAAAAGGCTCTAAATTATTAAAAAAAATTAAGATACTGACATAAAATTTTTTTAAAAAAATATCAAATTCATATTTTAATATAATACATGATACTAAAATAAAAAGTTTTCTATTATTATTTATTACGTTGGCTAGATTCCCCTATTTGTTATTTTTTTTATAGTAAATAGATTCCCCTGTTTGTTGTTTTTGCTTTTGGATCTTTTTGGGTTACCGAGTCAATCTGGAGTTGCTCGCTAAACGCGAATCATAACATTGTCGTCTGTCGTTTAACGAGACAAAAAAAAAAAATGTCGTCTGTCTTCCCCGACTCTGCATAAATTATTCACTCAATATAAAAACCGCCGAAATTAAGTTAGAAAACCCCGGGAGGGACCAAACCAAACCCAAACACGCCAACGCCGAGAAAGAAAGAGAAAAAACTTTCCCACTTGCCAAACACCATTCAAAATCTCATCTCCCAACCTAAACTCTCCGTCCGTCTCTCAAATTCACCGTACGACGATCAATCAATCCCTACCTCTTGATGGAGGTTCGACCTAGCACATCCTCAAAACGCAGCGTTTCGGCGCCCTAGGGTTTTAGTCGAGCTTTGCGGAATCTTCCGATGTGCTAACCTCCGGGCCCGCCCCCCCCCGCCGCCGCCGTCGTCGAGGCCGATCATGTTTCCGTGGAACATCGCGAAGTCGGCCGAGGCGATGTTCTCGCGGTGGGCCGTGAAGAGGGTGTGCAAGTTCTTTCTGAAGAAAAAGTTGGGGCAGTTCTTGTTGGGCGAGATTGATATTGATCAGCTTGATGTTCAGCTTTCTGAAGGCACAATTCAGCTCAATGATCTCGCGCTTAATGTCGATTTTCTCAATAACAAGGTAATTCTGCTTGCTAGTTGCATACGTTCGGTAGTAGAGAGGAAAAAAGTGACCACTTTTGGAATTAGCTAAAGATTGTTCTTAAGAAGAGCAACGAAATGTTTAATTTTAAGTTTGGTGTTACTTTGACCAGTTCTTTTTTTTTTTTGTTTTTTGTAATCACACTGCCAATGTTTTATTGGCTAATTGTTATGCGTGAATTTGACTGTTTTGATTTGTGGCGTATTCCAGGTATTATTAGCGAAAAAAAAAGTCTTGCTTTGTCCATTTGCGTTTCAATTACTCTATTTCGAAAATTTGAATGCTTTCTGATGGTTCTTCATGAGTTAAACTTGGCATGAATTGCTTGGTAGAACTTACAAGTCCTATGCACGAGTCTCACATGCAATTTTTTACTGCCCGAATAAAGAATCTTGATATTAATATATAGCTGACTCTATATGATGACTTATACTTGCTTATTATGATTCTATAAATATCGAAGTATTGCTTTCACTCTCGCTAGAGTGTCCGGGGTTTGTTGTAATTTGAATTCTAGTGTTGTTTCTAGAGGGCTAATCCTATCCTACTTTTGCTATTGTTTCTACATTTGATTCTCAACTCATGTTTATTGTAATTACACGGTTGCTTTCTTCAGTTTGGTGCAGTAACATCAATACTAATTAAAGAAGGTTCAATCGGCTCTCTTTTGGTGAAAATGCCTTGGAAGGGTAGAGGTTGTACGGTTGAAGTGGATGAACTTGAGCTTGTTCTCGTTCCGAGCAAAGAGAATTGTTCACCTTCCATTTCTCAAACTCATCACTCCTGTCAGGATCAAGCACTTCCCGATGACTTGGGCAAGCTTGATTACAACATGATGGACAATGCTGCAAAATCTACTTCTGGGGACATCCATGAAGGTGTTAAGACAATTGCAAAGATGGTGAAATGGTTCCTAACGAGTTTCAATGTAAAGATAAAAAAGGTGATAATTGCATTCGATCCGTGTTCAGAGAAGGATGGAAACAAGCCAGAGTTTCACAGAACCTTGGTTCTTCGGATTTCAGAAATTGAATGTGGCACTTGTGTTTCTGAAGACGCTAATCCAAACCTTGAAGCAAAAGGCGAGAGCTTTCTTGGGGTAAGTCGACTAACAAACTTTGTCCAGTTTCAAGGAGTAGTACTTGAACTTCTTCACTTGGATGATGGTAACAATAAGACATGCTCTCCATGTATGTCGTCAAGTATTACAACTCCAATCATGACTGGTAAGGGAGGTGGATTTTCTGGGAACTTGAAATTAAGTATACCTTGGAAAAATGGGTCTTTAGACATCCGCAGAGTGGATTCAGAAGTTTTCATTGATCCTATAGAAATTCAACTTCAGCCGAGCACAATTAAATGGCTTTTACACTCGTGGGAAGCTTTAAAGAGTTTCGAGAAGGATGGAAGTGACCATATGATTCACAAGGAAATGGATACCAGCCTCCTTAATCCGGCATCTCACTGCCTTCCATCTAGACCTGTTTCAACTGCAAATTCAACAAGCAATGCAGTTCCTATTTCTGGTGTTGTTTTAGAAAAATCATCTTCTATAGCAGTGCAAGATTCATGTAATGAAACCCTGCTATCTGGACCACATCTTATATCGGATTGGGTGCCCATATCAACCAATAAAAATAAGAATGTTGGTGTTGAAGAAGAGCTTGATTTTGGGGCAAGGTTGGTATTCATTTCGTGCTGTCAACAATCTTGATTTTATCGCAGTCTCTGTGTTTCTATTTAATGTTTCCAAACTGAGCAATTCTTCTGGTCTGTCTTTGTGCAGCGTGGACCAGTTTTTTGAGTGTTTTGATGGGATGAGAAGTTCTCAATCAGCATTGGGGAACAGTGGGATGTGGAACTGGACATGTTCTGTTTTCAGTGCTATTACTGCTGCATCAAGCCTTGCTTCTGGATCTTTATATATTCCGTCTGGTATGTGAATTTTTTTTTTTTTTTTTTTTTTTTTTTTTTTTTTTTTTTTCTTTTTTTTTTTTTTTTTTTTTTTTTTTTTTTTTTTTTTTTTTTTTTTTTTTTTTTTGCATGTCAAAATGATTTATAACCTGCAGCTTTTCTTTTTTATTTTTTTATTTTTTTATTTTTAAAATGTTATACTTTGCATCAGATGCATTGCTTGATAGTCCCAGATTTATTTCTAAAGCTAGTTTACGTGTTGAGGTGTATTACACTGGTAATGTTATGTAGGCATTGAATTAAAGCCATTAAATATTCAAAAGTCTATAAAACATAATATTTCAGAACCCCTAATATCATAAGCCATCTCATAGATAGCCTTACATTCTTTTGAAAACAATGGTCCCAAGAAGGTTGATCTCATGGCGCTTCTGGAGTATTTATGGTGCCAAATTGTTGTGAACATACAGATTTTAGTTTCCAAAATTATGTAGGGTTGTCGACAATTGCCCTTAAAGCAATTAGATAAATTTGTATGGCTTCATTTTTAAATATCGGAAGGTTTACTTTGAACCTTGAGTTAATTTTTTCTTGAAGAGAATACCAAAATAAAGTTCTGACGAAAAATAATTGTACACGGCTGCTGATTACAACCGAATGCTAAAGTCTGGGGTAATTGATAGTAATCACAGTAGCATAGCGTTTTTGCCTAAGCATTGATTTGTTGAACTTGACATAAATCTCTTTGCTTGTCCAAGAATCATAGATCCCTGAGCTTCAATAGAGAATGATCAAACATGATACTTTAGACTAAGTGTTCAGTCTTATATATATATATATATATATTTTTTTTTTTTTCATTTACTTATGTTCTCCTGTTAATTTGCAGAACAGCAGCATGTTGAAACCAATCTGAAGGCAAATTTTTCTGGAGTTTCTGTATTCTTGTCCTTCCAAGATGAGGACCAGAAATTTATGTTTCATGCTGATGGTGATCGGACTAGTGCTGGCTTATATGTTCCTTACCTAGGTGTAGAATGCCAAGACATTCTTCTCATTGTGCAGGTAATAGCTGTGACAGGGTAGTTTTTTATTCTCCCCATCTCTGTTTTGACATTTATAACTTGCTGGTTCTGCTTGATATCCCAGTAGACTAACTAAAAACATTTGATAAGGTCAACAGGTATGTCCTCAAGAAATGAGGTATGAAGGAACTATCAAGTTCATCGAGATTGCTAATTACTTGAGCTACAAAGGTGATCCCATAGATTTGGGACATGAAGAAATTAACAGCCAAAATCTTTATATTCGACAACTGCAAGCTGATGTTCAAGGTGTTCTCCCGCCACTTGCCTCATTGACTGAGGACTCGAATGGATCAACTGGTTTCATTGCAAAAGATTTTCCATTTGGAAAGAAAAACAATGTTGTCAAAGTCACATTGCTTAAAACATCAGGGGTCACTCATTGGCAATCCTCTGTGAAATCAAGTTCATCCGACGGGAGTCTAGTAAGACCAGTGGCATCCTTTGAAGTAGAATTATCACCATTTGTTTTCTGGGTGGACTTTTCCTTGATAAGGTCGCTGTTAGAACTGATGAAGTCAGTCTTAAAATCTGTTGAGAAAAGCCATGTATTTTCTTTGAAAGTGTCTGATAGGAAGCATGGATCTTCTCATGGGGATGCCAAAAGAGGTTCTAATTCACGTATTATGACCTTGTCTTCAACAGAAAGTCTGCAAGGTAATATATTGATCATGAACGCGAGGGTGATCCTATGTTTTCCATTTAAGAGTGATAATGATGTTAGAAGCTTTGCTTCCTGGAATCAATTCGTTGCTCTTGATTTTCATCTACCACTGAGTGGTAGTGGGGGAATAGTTCGAGAAATTGGTCCGGCTTCAGGTGCAACTACACCAAAGAGGTATTCTGCAACAGCCACCCGTTCTTTACATTTGAAGCTTAGCAATATTGATGTTTTCTTGGTCTGTCCTGCAAGTAAAGATAATTCTGGAATCAACTCTGGTAACATATGTGAGCAGAAGTTCTATGCGGAGAACATATTGTCTGTCTCAAACAGAACAGGTTGTTTTTCAGTCATTAGTATGCTTTTGCAGGACGGTCATGTGACTGGACCTTGGATTGCAAAAAAGGCCAGGTTCATTGCTACTTTTGAGGAATCCAAGAGCATTGATAATTTTGTGCGAAAAGATTATGAGTTTGCTTCTGTATCTACCGTGAATGATATGGAAGATTTAATCTCTGAAACTCGACAGGAGATAATGTTGAGTTCTACAACTTTTCTACACATTTGTCTCTCTGCAACTACAATAAAATTGAGAAGTCTTCAATATAAGGCCTTATACGGTCTTATAGATCAGATTATATATGGGTTATCAAGTGTGGGTTTTGATGAATCCATTGTTAAGGAAGCTTCTACTATCTCTCAAACATCTTTTCTTGTGGACTGCAGTGCATTAGAAATTGTGATAAGCCTTGACGTAAAGGAGAATGTCAAAGGCTCAACACAGACGGAACTTCCTGGATCATGGCATCGTCTAAAACTGCAACTTCAGAAGTTCACATTGATGTCTGTCTCAAATATTGGAGGTATTAAAGGTGCCAGCTTCTTTTGGCTAGCTCATGCTGAAGGCAAATTGTGGGGTTCCATAACGGGTGTTCCTGATGAAGAATTTGTTCTGATCTCATGTAATAACTCTACATTGAAACGTGGTGATGGAGGAGGTTCAAATGCTCTGTCATCTAGGTTGGCCGGTTCTGATATTGTGCACCTGTGGGATCCTGAAAGTAACCATGATTTTACGTCTATAAGTCTAAGATGTGGCACAATTGTTGCAGTTGGAGGTCGCTTAGATTGGTTGGATGCAATATTCTCATTTTTCAACATGCCTTCTACTGAAACTGAAAAGGCAGCCAATGAGTCTATGCAAAAAGGGGATTCGGATGTGTCTAGTGGAGCTTCTTTCGTTCTAAGTTTTGTTGATATTGGATTGAGTTATGAGCCATATGTAAATAATTTGATTGTCAAACCTAACGTTTTGGATTCTGAATCCAGTCTTTCTCTTGTCAATCAAGGGAGGGGTGAGGAAAATGTTGCTTGCCTGCTGGCTGCATCTTCCTTGAATCTCTCAAACTCAACCTTGGCTAATTCAACAGAAAATGAATATAAAATTAGACTTCAAGATCTTGGACTTCTTATTTGTGTAGTATCAGAGTCCAAGAACGTTGGTGGCACTTACAATGCGGAATGTCTTCATAAAAGTGGCTATGCAAAGGTTGCTCGGGAGGCACTGGTTGAAGCAATTTTGAGAACCAATTGTGAGAGCGGACTTCTGTGGGAGGTAGAATGTTCTAAATCTCACATCTACCTGGAAACTTGCCATGACACGACTTCTGGTTTGATTCGTTTGGGTGCTCAACTCCAACAGCTATTTGCCCCTGACATGGAGGAGTCAGTTGTGCACTTGCAGAATAGATGGGATAGAGTTCGGCGAGAACAGGAGGGGGAAGTTTTAAGCGAGGCAACTCGACTCTGTACCAGTGATTCTTCACCATCAACTTCTGAAATGTATTCAAGTCTGGCCATTCAGAATGAACATGGGTTGGTTGGCTTAATGGATGAGATACATGAAGATGCATTTCAAATAGATAGGAACCAGATCTATCAATACGATTCATCTGGTACAAAAGTTCATTTTCCAGTTGACGAAAACCTTCTTGGAGAACTGGGCACCTTAAGTATTGCCACTCCTGAAGTTCTCTCTCATGGTCTGCGTATTGATGGTTCAGTGTCCCCAGGACTGGACAGTTGTCAAACTTCTTCATCAGAACAAAGTACCTTCCCAGAGTTCATTGAGCGCTATTGTTTTCCCGAGTTCCAGCCATTTACAGAAGTATCTGTTGGGCGACAATCATCATATGACATTCTTAAAGATAAATATAATGATGTCAGTGGAGGAGATTTTGGAAGAGGAAATAGTGGATGGGACGGGGATGCATCCTTAAGAATTGTAGAAGACCACATTTCAGATGTGAGAAATGGGTGTAGCGCGGAGAAATTTGAGGAAACTAAGCTTCCTCATATTGAAAGTACAGAAGCCAGCAATGACAGAAAGGCCACAGGACGTGTACTTCTCAGAAACATTGACGTCAGATGGAGAATGTTTGCTGGTTTTGATTGGCAAGATTGCAAAGAGAATGTTCAGCAGTGTACGGATAACAGTGGAAGGGATACAACAGGGTGTCTAGAGCTTACACTTTCTCAGATCAAATGTCAGTATGAGATTTTTCCAATCGGTGGAATACATGTTTCTAAGCTTTCTCTTTCAGTTCAAGATTTCCATCTTTATGATATGAGGAGAGATGCTCCTTGGAAACTGGTAAGATTCTAACCTTTGAACAAGCATTTAACCTTTCTGGTTCTACAATAAGATTTAAAAGGTTTTTATTTTTTGAATACAAGGTATTAGGATATTATGATTCAAAGAATCATCCTCGGAAATCCTCCTCAAAAGCATTCAAACTGGATTTGGAAGCCGTCAGACCTGATCCTCTAATACCTCTTGAAGAGTATCGGTAAATATCATGCTCTTTAAGTTGAATGCTATAATGTGTAAATATATGTGTGTGTATTAAAAGCCGCCCCAGTGTAGGCTTATTAAGTCAATTTTTTGTACAGGACTATCATGTGCAGCTGTATTAATTTTCCTTTTGTGTGTGCGTATGTTGCAATAGTGTTTCCCTAGGATCTTGATATATATATATATATATATATATATATTAGGAAATCTAAGATCTTGAGGTTATATCAATGTTTATGACCAAACTTATGGTTTTATTTCCCAATAGTCTTGAGGTTCTGTGAATAATTATAATCAAACTGATGGCTTTCATCTTTCAGTTAATTCTGCGTAGAGGGATATATGCTGTTGTAACAATGTTCTGGCCCTAACCTGTATTTGTTCTGCCTTCAGATTACAAATAGCGTTTCTCCCAATGCGATTGCATCTTCATCAGTCCCAACTTGATTTTCTTATCAGCTTTTTTGGTGCAAAAAGCTCACCAGTTGATCAGTCCTCAGGTTGTCATCAAGATTCAGATATTTCACAATCGATGCCAATCAAGAGTAACTTAGTTGCAGGGCATAATATTGTGGAGGAGGCATTACTTCCTTACTTTCAGGCGAGTTGTATTTTATTTACAAATCGATTAATCGATCCCTTATCCTCTTTTCTGTGGCTTTAAGCATATTAAGCCTTGTAGAAATCCAGTCTAAATTAACTGGAGTCTCAGAGTTGGTTACCGATCTCTCTTTTGCAGTCCTGGTTGAGTTGGTGTTTGTATGCATTTAGGGGTTTTGTGTCTGTGTTTGTGTGTGTTGTTTTGGGGGGATTACTTGAAATTCTTTTTCCTACTTGGCTTAATCCAAGGCATGTAAATGGGAAAATCAAAAGTATGGAATATTGAGAGAGCACTATACGATGCAAAGCTCTGTTTCTTAGCCCAAGAGAACTGGAGGCAGCCTTGAAATCTTTCTGCCCTTTGACGTATACATCTATAAACCAATATTCTCCCTGAAGTATATACCTGGGTATACTGTTATGTATTCAATACCACCCTTTGTAGCTTGCTGACACGTCCGTGGGTGCTCTAAGTTCGAATTTGATAGCAACTTCTACTTTTGAATTTGGAGGTGCAGCTCTGACTTTATTTCATTTTTTTTCTGCATTCTATATGTCGCTCCTGATGGGAATTCTTGCGCCTCTGATTGGATTAGGTGGAATATGGATCAGACTAACACAGTTGCCTTTTTCCTTCCCCCCCCCCCCCCCTCCCCTCATTATTAGTTCTCATTATTAGTTGTGTTCATTAAATTTTTTCTATACAAGCATTTTTATACTCATACAAAACCTCTATCTTATGTTTCTTCTTTGAATCTTTTTAGAGCTTTGATATGTGGCCTATTCTTGTTCGGGTTGACTATAGTCCCTGTCGGCTTGATCTAGCAGCATTGAGGGGTGGGAAGTATGTGGAGCTTGTTAATCTTGTTCCTTGGAAGGTAACCTAATCAGTCAACCTTAACTCAGAGATCTCGGTTTTACTGCTGACATTTAATTCTCTTGTGGAACGTGCTTATTGTGATTTGTGAAACAATGTTCTGAACTTCAAATCATATGAATTGACGCAGGGAGTTGAGCTGAACCTAAAGCATGTTCATGACGTTGGTATATATGGCTGGGACAGTGTATGTGAAACAATTTTAGGGGAGTGGTTGGAAGATATTTCTCAAAACCAGGTTTAAATGACACTTATTACACCTCTTGAATTGTGGTCATCTTGCGTAGTAGTCCAGTCGTTTTTATTATTTTTTAATAATGTTGGATGCAGGTACATAAAATATTGCGAGGTCTTCCTCCCATCCGTTCAGTGGTTGCTCTTGGTGCTGGTGCTGCGAAGCTGGTCTCTTTGCCCTTCGAGAACTACCGGAAGGATAAGAGAGTACTCAAGGGAATGCAAAGAGGTAAGCTGAATTTAGTAAACTCATTCACTTGACGTTTCTATAAAATTGAGATGTTCTTTTGCGAAAGACTGACTCTCAGCATTAACTGCATTTCCTTTTTAGTTGGAAGATGTATCAGCTGATATATATATATATATATATATATATATATATATACAAATTTGATATAGACCATAAAATCAAGAGCATACTTCAAATTCATGGAAAATTCTGTTATGCTTCCTTTAATAGTCCAAATTTATTGCTCATATGCCTGGATCCTTCTTGGTTGTTCAACATTGTAAAGGGACATGTTCACAGTATTATTGATAACCATTTTGTTGATCTTTATGTCAAATATTAAAGCAACTTCCTTTATAGGTATAAGTGCATTTCTTAGAAGCATTTCAGTTGAAGCTGTTGGACTTGGAGTACATTTGGCAGCTGGGGCTCATGATATTTTGCTTCAAGCAGAATATATATTTACAAACACAGCTCCTACTGTACCACGGCCAATATCGAGTAAAATAAAACCAAATGTTAGATCTAATCAGCCAAAGGATGCTCAACAAGGAATTCAGCAGGTGATTATTCTCCACAACGTTGTTGCTATATAGAGTTCTTGGCCTTTCAATGCTTGGTAGTTTGTACAAATACTTATGCAACAGTGAGATACATTGCTGGTACTTGGTAGTGGAGTTTTATTCCCCTAATTTGATATGAGGCTTTAGCCTATGGTTTTCAAGACTCAAAAGAATCTTCTTCTATGGAGGAATGTATCTGTAGCTTGTCTTCCTTTGCTTATTTCCTTTCCTTTTGGAAAAACATGTTAATGTTCATAATTTACAGGCTTATGAGAGCCTGAGCAACGGCCTGGAAAAATCTGCTTCTGCCCTAGTTCAGACACCATTGAAAAAGTACCAGCGGGGAGCTGGTGCAGGCTCGGCTTTAGCAGCTGCTGTTCGAGCGGTTCCTGCTGCTGCTATAGCTCCAGCTTCTGCATGTGCAGGCGCCGTACATTATACTCTTCTTGGATTCAGAAATAGGTTCGTTTGAATTCTTCATTTTTTGTTTTGTATCTCTGAACATTACATGACTATTTCAATGTGTTAACCTTGTCTGAATTTTAATTCACCGTTCTGGTTCATGTTTGCAGCCTTGATCCTGAGCGCAAGAAAGAATCAATGGAGAAATATTTGGGTCCCACTCAGCCATGGGAACAAAAATGATGGTATGGTCAATAATATCACTTAAATAACGTGGTTTCTATCTTTTACAACATGAGTTCTGCTTGCTTAACCATTGCAAGATTTTTTAATTCCGTATGCAGGAGATGACATCCATTACTGGAAGTCAACAAGAAAATCTTTCTTTCCCGAACAATGTGGGGGGGTGTTGGTGTTGTTCTTAGTGAACCCCATCTGTTGGCACGCTAGAGCTTATGTACCACGTGAGTTTAACTGTTTCTAGCTCATCACTACTACTATTTTTTAATTATCTTAATCTCAGATCTGGGATTTCTGGGAGCCCAAAAAATTATTTCATCTCCTTGGTCAACTGAATTTCTTATGTATTTTTGGCATGTAATATCCCCCATTTGTGTTTCTATATATGTTTTGCTTAAGCCTCAATGTATTTACTGCTTGCAGGTGTGCAGTACCTGGACCTTTCACTTGATTCTTTTCCGTTGGAACATGATAAGGCGGTAATTTTGTACAAAATTGTAGATATCTGGGGGTGCATATGAAAATTCTTACCCACACTGACGTTTGACGAGCCTTTTAGGTATAGCAACAGATTGGCATTGATAGTTTGATTGTATATTCCCACAACCATTATTTTAAGACCCACATCACGTGTATATTGCTTCCATTTACTGTACATATCTCATGATTATTTGATTGGTTTAATAAGCAGTTTTTTTACTTGTAAAAGTTGTGATCGCCAGATATTATGTTACCTCCCAATTTTCTCCAAGCCATAATATTTCCTTTTCCTAGCTCTAGATATGAATTTGGGAAAATATTTGGATGTTATCTGGTACGTTTTGGTGATCCTTAATGGACCTGCACCTTTTATAGGTGACGGAAGAAAGTGACGTTTTCACATCGTCCACAAGTAGTGGGAATTGCTCAAACTTTTGTTACTATTCACACACGCTGGATTCAGGAATTCTTTGTTTTGGGTAGGAAAAAAAACAGAGTATTTTGTGGTAAGGTTAAAAAAACATAGAATTCAACGAGAGGGTATAAAAAAATTACAATATTGTTAGACTTCTATTTTGATTTGTTGTCTCATTTGTGTTTGTATCGATTCTGTTAGTTTGTACATCTTTTTATGGTGATGTAATTTTGACCCGATCATTATTATATATTAAATTTTCAAACTTTCTATTTTTCTCATATGATTTTAATGTGATTTGATGGTTCATAAGTGCGTTTTAAGTGTAGTATTTATTTATTTAGTTTTTTTTTTTCAGTTCTGTGTCATGGAATTCTACGAAATGCATTGCTTCATGCTGACACGAGCTAACGAGGACCCAAGCGAGCTCTTAAATTTGTTGGCATTGTTGTTGTAGGGAACACTCTAGTCAAGTACATAGTTTGTTAATTTAAATTTAATAAGCTAATAATCTCGAACGTGCTTTCATATGCTTGGAGCTTTTGTATTGATTAGGAACTACATTGTTGTATGTTGTTTGAGGTCTTTGCACGCACGAATGCACATGCATACAACAAAAGAATCTCATCTATTCTTCTCTCAAACATTCCGAAAATTGTGGGCCAGTTCAAAACTTGAGGTCACTGAGGAGTTCTGGGTTTTCCTTTGGTACAATAATAATGTCGATTAGATTAGAAAGATACTTTTGGATTTGTCTTCTGAAGAGACTAATGTACAACTTAAATGCGGTTTTACAGTCATGTAAATGAATAAGAAAAGGGAAGGCAGAAATTTCAGTACTTAATTTGTGCAAGGAGTGAAACGTACCATACCATGTCCAAAACCAACATAAGAAGAAAAATTAGATACATGATACATCAACATAATGAATTTATACTGACTCATGGAAGTTCTTGAAACTGCAAACTTTTGTACAAAGCCACTACTGTCAAAACACCTCTTTGTTTATCCATCATCTTCTCAAGTGGAGGGGAGCGAAACAAACAAAAAAGTACAAAAAAAGAAAAAGAAAAAAAGAAAAAAAGAACACAAGTTTCAGCCAACCTCTGAACACGAATATATATATGTGATAACAGCTAAGGATAAGTGAAGATTAGCAGGAACAAAACAGTCCTCCCAAAAATGCAAATTCTGATCAAATGACCACTCGTTTCTGCGTTGGATCTAAATTTTCTTTGGCATTACATGGTGTTCTCTATGCATTTGAATCCTCCTTCAAATAATAGTCCCTGTAAACAAAAACAGCTTTGAGAATTAAACCAATTGTATCTATCATGACCTGCAATTCATAAGTATGCACCTGTGTATTTGAAATTTAAGATTTTATATTTTTTTTTTTCATTTTTTTATAAGCACGTGGGAGCAAAGAACACACATAAATCACATGCAAATCGACCATAAGAAGGTGAAGGTAACAGCGTAGCCCGTAAGTGTATATCTGAAATTAAGACTTGGATCTAATTACCTGGTTTTCCTTCGTAGCCTCATGAACACAATTGTGATTTCCATCTTCAACCACACTTTCAAGCATGATCTCATCACTCTTGCCTTTTCTAGACAAAATGTTTGCTTTCTTGAGCCCTAAGCGTTCCTTCCACCGGCCTAAACTCTTTGGCGGCCTAGAAAACACGTCGTCGTCATTAACAAGGAGTTCTTCTTTCAAAGTCGTCTTGCGAAGATGGTTGGCAGAATTATCCTTTATGGGCAACAACATGCCTTGAAATATAATCTCATCGGCGGATCTCATCGCATAGTTGTTGACAGAGAATTCAAAGTCCGAAGAAACAGGAGCTTCTCTGTAGATGTTTTCATGCTTCATGGTTTGTTGAGTAGTAGTACTGTCTGCAAAATCATTGGAAAAAGATATTCTGGGGTCCATGAAGGAAGTACAAAGGCCTAGCTGCTCATTGTTGAACATGTTATAGCATGCTTTTGAAGATACCAACCAATGCCCACTATTTTTTTTTTAATTTTTTTCTTGAATTGGTAGTGTCCACATGGAGAGGTCTCTATTTATATTTGAGAAAAGCTTGTTTGTATTGCATATGGAGTAGACATCTCATGTTACTTAGATTTGTCACCTTGTGATTAAGAATTGTGGGTTTTACTTTTCTCTTCTATAACATAATAGTTCTTTGGCTAGTGACACCTAATATTAATATTAGGTCTTTAGAACGGCTACATTCCAGTCACTTCCACAAGAAAAATTACAACTTATTGCAAAAGTTTCTTGCACACACACATTAGTCAAATGTGCCAGGCATCTTAAAAGATTAAAGTAAAGAAATCTGTCCAGATAAGTGGTATGCGTGGCAATCACATGGCATGATTTAGGTTTGGTAGTGATCTGCTTATCCCAAATAAGGTCTTTATTATGTTTTGATGAGATCGATTGAAAGACTAAACAAAAAACAGAAGGAAAAAAAAAAGAAAAAAAAAAACTTTTTTGGGTATCAGGTTAGTATGTGCCCATTTTAAGTATTTTGTTGAAGTATTTTCTTGCATTAATATATATATATATATATATATATATATATTGTCATGCTTGCTCTTATTTTTGCAACACTTCTTGTTTATCTATTAAACGAAGTGGTTTGTATTTGATACACTTAACTCTATTGCTTTCTTCTTTAGCAAACCGAATAATAACAATAATAATAATAATAACAATAATAACAACAATAATAACAACAACAATAATAATAATAACAATAATAACAATAACAATAAGAATAACAACAACAACAAGAATAATAATAATAATAAGAACAACAACAACAACAACAACAACAACTCTCTTTCTCTCTAGGTTATCTTTTTCCAACTATTTTAATATATATAGACCAAATAAACCAGTAACATAAAGATGTACACAATATTTAACTAGTAATGTTGTTTGAGATCTCATGAGGATTAAGGTCCATGTGAAGTTTAGCTTACTTGTCAATCAAGTGATAAACAAATCAAGTTTTCTCAGTCTTAAGCCATCCAACAAGACAAAACACTACTACTTAATTGAAAACTTTGTGAACTAGAGCAAAAAGTGAAAAGGGTCGAGATTCTTTTTCCCCACTTCCTCTTAGGCTATTGACCTTCACATAACTTCACATGGTTTTATCCTCATCTAACGTTGGAACTTTTCTGTAATAGGCCAATAGGGTTGTATACGTGGCATATTTCTTCTTCTGAAAAGTGTGGGAATTTTAGAAGATACCCTCTATAGTCATTGCTTTAACCTCATTGTTCTAGGGAGGCACTGTCCCCCTTTTGGTCTCCCATTTTGTTAGCAAAGTTTGTCATTTTGTACTCTAATTTAAGAACTTCATTTTAGTCTTATATCTACTTCATCCTAAATAATCGCCTTCAAGGCTCATTTCACAATGTCAGATCAAGAAACAGCCAGTGTTGTAATGGATACTTTGAATGTTGCCCCCAAGTTTATATATTAATCTCTCTTTCTAACATACTTTATAGAAGTAGTAGAAAATGACTTTCTCGCTCTCCAAAATTATGCCTTCCAATGTCTATGAAGTCTGACCTAATATTCTGCTTAAGTTCAATTGTTCAATACATATTTTTTATTGCTTGGTTTTGTGGTGTTAAACGTTTGGTTAAGTCTTCCCATGTTAATTTAATTCTTTATTTCTCTTGAAAGTTTTCGCCACTAAATTTTTGTAAGTTTAATGAGTAGGAACATCTTTTGTTTATTGATACACAGATAGATGTATATTTCTTCTAGTTCCCCTTCAACCCCTAGCTTAAGAGATCGATCGACGTTAATTGTTATGTCTTTAGAGTTGAACAAAGAGGATTAAGTTTTATTAATTTGTGGAGCCTCACATAGAAAATTTTGTTGATTGATCTTGAGGTGAACACAGTGTTGTGAGGTGGGTGATTTTCTCTTGTTAACATTTCTTAGTGATTATTGTAGTAGCTGAAAGATGACATCATCTCATATTGAGACAAACATCGAAAAATTTTGCGTGTTTATTTTGTCTGATACGTCCATTTCTTAACAATTTGTTCCAGTAAAAAAAAATTTAAAAAATTGTATTCATCTGCACCAAGAAAAGAACGAGAAAAACATGCTTAGAAATCATTAAAAGTAGTTCCAATTTCTAAGATGAGAATCCATCGTTTTGATTGGTAGTACACCGTTGTAAACGAAGACCTTTTATTCAACATCCACTTTTTGTGGCCAACTATTCAACTGAAAGTCTGACAAATCAAGAAGTCATAAGTCAGATATCACTAACTCGTTCTCGCAATCTTCAATGAGCTTGTAATTCTTAAGGCAGTCAATAAAAATGTTCTTAACATAAAAAACGAGCAAATTAATCTACTGATACAATGAATGAAGCCTCTCTAGTCAGCCATAAGTAGTTCTCTACTTCTCTTCTCTTAAATTAAGCATGAACAGTACAAAATTAAAAAAAAAAGGAAAAAGGAAAAAGAAGGAAAAAAAAAGAGAAAAATTAGACCAATGAATAGAAGACAAAGTCATAAACAATTAAGCAAGTTTCATAGGGGAACTACATTGTGATTCTGTCTCTACTCTCTAGTCAATGCCTACTAAGCAGAAAAATATTATAGGACATTGGCCAACGTGTAGAATATGAAGGCCACCAATAATTGTCATCTTCAAACATATAAACAATTTTGTTAGATTTTTCATTCAAAGTAATAGAAATTTTTTTAGTGCTATTCAAAACAATAGTTTTGTCTTGCTACATATTATGACAAATGACCAAAAATATATTCATGATGACAAAGATAAATCTAATAATGAAGCTAACATTAGCTAATCATGGTTGTGTATACGTTATGTACAACTAAAAAAATACAAGAGTCTTCTCATGGTCGTATACATCAGAAAACATGCTAAGCAGATTAGAAAAATACAATAAACAAAATGAATAATAGAAATGATGATAGCCACCAGATTAACTGAAACAACTAATTATTGAAAATCATCATCGTGTTCCAATGTATCAGGAGACAATCTCTTCTGAGGCAAGTGATTCCCAAGAGAGGGTTTAGGCTTTAATGCGTCTTGTAGAGAACATTTTAAAGAACTTGTCACACGTACCACATTTGCCCTTTGTAGAGGCTTGTAAGGGGCAGATAAGGTGTTTTTTGCAGAGTAATGATTGGAAATAACAGATTCTAAGGGTTTCCTATTACGAGACAACATGGTTTTCTGGTTCAGATTTTGCTTTGATTTGGGATGGTTCACATTTTCTTCTGTTTCCTGCATCCTCGGTCTTGCTATTGAATCAATAGGTACAAGCTTTCCGTCGACTTGATTCGTGAAAACAAATGACACCTGAAACAACAGAAATAAAATTAAAAAATGAGTATCACTCTGCATCACTGATTCCCATTACTGAAAAATTAACATGATATCACGTTATCCATTTTCTCTTTTCTTTTTGAGAGAATCCAGAGTAGATATTGGTAATAGAATAGAAAGTGAAACTAATGCCAAAATCACTATAGCTAAAATAAAATAAGTTGTTACACCTCATCACCAGCTGAAGCTTGGAATATTGCATCCGGCACCGACGTTGGGAAAAAATGATGCCCCCAACTACCCAAATTTTCTTCCAAAGGTGTCCCCATCTGAAAATTTTCTCCAAAGAGAAACATTAGCTTTGAAACAAAATGGCAGCAAGAAACTATCAGATATAATGGAATGAATGCCGCCTACCTGTTTCTCCGACCTCTTTAGCTTGTCTAAGCATCCAGCAATTTCAGCAAATCCACCAATATCAGAGGTGTCTTGATCAGCTTGACAACTTCCGTGCATTATTTGGTCTCTGTCTCTTTTCTCTATTTCAGGCCTATCATCATCGCTTTGGCAACGGATGCAGTTCATCTTATCATGAATTTCAGACCTATAGATATAGTTGGAAGATAAGGAGAGACAAAAACTGAGAAAGGTGCTAAAGAAAAGATTCCGTGTTGTCAGAGCATAGAAATGAAATATAGCACCCAAGGAGTAGTTATTAATACTTCCGAAGAACTGAAGAATGAATGGGGATCCGGAGAGCTAAATTTGAGGGAATCTGAACTCTGTTCCTTTTAAAATAAATATTCTGTCATAAGTGGGTATGCATGAAAAATTGATAATCTTTCAAAATTCTGAATATTAAAGGAGTTTTAGCTGTTGTATCACATGATATATATGTACATATCACTCTTTTACGTTACAATAGGCTAATATCTACCACTTGTTCTTTCTATACGTTGGCAGACTGGCAAAAAAAGAGAGACAGATAGTTGCAGACAGAAAGAATCGTTAAAATTCATGAAGCTGGTATTAGTACCGATGCCCAGAGATAACCCCGACGTATTGAATAACAAGAACTACGTCCAGGAGAATAGAGACAATAAACTGCATGTACAAAACTAATATATTAAGGACACAATTTCAAGAATGATCCATTCAACAGACTTAACAATGAAGCAGATATACAAGCAAATGATATTGCTATGATGTTGAAGCAAAGTCTTACCTCGCATTCTCATGGAAGCTGAACAGATCACGTAGATCTTCCATTGAAAGCAAATTTCCCTAAAGAAGGAATTGATCATGTACCATGGCAAAGTAAACAACAAATGAAAACCATTTTAAAAAAACACATTTTGAACCTGTGCGGTGGGGCTATCTTTTTGCTCTTGTTGGATTACTTTTTGAAGCCCTTCTTTTGACATCTGACGCTGGAAGATCTAAGGAATAATGGGCTCGTTTAATAAGTTAATCTAAGGCAACAGATAGCATATATTACTGCCACAATGCAGAAGCGAAACAAAATAGCTACTACATCAAACCTTTTCTTCAATCGTTCCAGTACTCAGAAATCTGTAAATGTACACTCTTTTCTTTTGCCCATCTCTCCAGACTCTTGCAGCAGCCTATAACGGATTAAGAGAAAGGAAAATGCAAGAATATGAATACACTGTCTTGGGAGAGTGCATATTTGTAACTCAGATGCCCACTGCAATTTGCACATAAAATTTTGACCAAGGCAATTACTTGTTTATCATTCGCAGGATTCCAATCAGGATCAAACAAAACTAGTCGATTTCCACCAATCAAATTGAGACCACAACCACCAGCCTTGCTGCTTAAGAGAAACACAAATTCATCCTGCAAGATGTGGAGTTAGACTTGTTAGTTCAACCAAAAAGATAAAGCTGAAAAAGAGAGATAAAAAATGTGTGTAACCTAAATTGGAAATATGCTTAGAAACGGGAATCTGTATACCTTTGTTGGATCATTGAAATGGTTCACTAGCTTTTGTCTTTTGCTAATGGATGTTGTTCCATCAAGCCTCAAATATGGGTATCTTCTTTCACGACATAATTGAGCAAAAAGGTCCAGGGTCTGATACATCACCATTGCATTAATTGACAAATGAAGACCTAAAAATTTTAGGTAAATGCTTGATGACTTGCAGAAGACAAATCATTTTTCAGTATTTTTCCCCCTTGCTGATACATGATTGTTTTCAATCACCAATAAGCAAGTTTGGCAAGAAAAACCACATCTTCATCCTAGATCTTATGAGCATCTTTCCAGGTTATCAATAGACAACAGCAACTTGTCATAGCATTTTAGCCATCCCAACAAAAAGAAGAAAAATAAAAAATAAATAAAAAGAAAAAGAAGAAGCAATGCTATCATAGGATTTAACTAAACTGAAGAACTAAAACGAGTCTAGCCAAAAGCAATAACAAGATGAAGAACTAATAAGAGTCTAGTCATTTAGCTGGACCCCTTCCTCCTTATCTGCATTATATATTTAACAAGTTGGAAACACATGTAAGTCTACTTAAGACTTTAAATGGGAAGGCGAACCATACTAAGATTACCTGCGTATAATTTGAAACAAGGACAATTCGGTCATCTGTCTTGTGACGTAAGTGAGCTAGTAACCGAGCTAGAATGTACATCTTTCCAGACAATTCAACCCAAGCCCCATCCCCACCGGTCCATGATCCAGATCTAACAAATGTGGAGTAGAGGATGATTAAGATTATTGGAGACAACTTAAATATATATTGAGAGAGATAAAGAGAATAAGGAAAAAAGAATGATTACCTTCCAGAGAACATCTCAGGAGGGAAGAAGCGAATACAGTCCTCAAAACCTGAAGTTCCTGGACTCCCACTTCTTATGGTATCATATATGAGCTACAAGGCACCATATCGTTCATTAGAAGAAAACAATTCTGAACCTGAAAATTTTATTAAACGGGAAATGGAAAGAGCAGGGAAAAGGACGAGGAAAAGAAACTAGAGTGCAAATTGATTAAAAGCCATGTATTTCAAACTGGAATTAGGCTACTTAGAAATTTAAATCTGCCTTCTCAATTGAAAAAGAAAAATGAACTTTCTACCGGTAAAGACTTGTATATATTAAAAAAATAAAAAGGAGAAGAAGAATTGAAAATGTATATTAGTAAAATGAAACCCAAAATATTCTAAGAGGCGCCCAAGAAGATTTAAACAAGTAGCGTCTAAAAGTTATATCTTACAAAAGGATCACACCTTTGGGTGATTGCAAAGCTTTTTGAGTGCTGTAATATAAGCTAAAATCTTCGATTGCTTCACTTCTTCTGAAATTGCTCGTTTAACCTGTTTTTGAGGGGGAAAAATAGTAACAAGCTTGACCTGTCAGACACACCGTTACGAGGTACAAAGGCTGCAAACTTTGTGGAACTCCTAGAATTAGTAAGAGAATGAGAACCTACGTTTTTTGATTGTATAAAGTGGTTATATAATTCTGACTGGAGAGGGGTCAACTTGCAACAAACAACTTCAACAATCTGTACAAGAGGAAAATGTAAAAATGAAGTCATAGATTTTGGTTTCCACAACACTATACAAACTACATTGCAATCATTACAACACGATCCAAACAAATAGAGAACATAGACGAGGTTGCTGACTTTCATAACTTTTTGAAATGAAAAATGCCATTGCATTTTCCTGCATGATCCAAACTTATTGTTCTAGAGAAAGGTATACCCCAAAAATAACTTTGATGAGTGACATACCTGAAGAAAATCAGAGAGAAATTTCTTCTATCTTATTCATTCTGCCGAAATATACATTTATAGGAAGAGGAGATTACCAACAGCCTGGTAATTCCTTGATTCAATCTGTCAAATCCTACATAAAAGGAAACTAACAACTATCTACAGAAATTAATCTACAGCTATTTACAGCCTAGCAAATCTCCAATTTATAGCCTATTATCTTCAGAATTCCACACTCCCCCTCAAGCTGGGCAATGAATATTAATCATTCCCAGCTTGGAGAGTAGTATGTCAAACTGAGCTCTAGGAATAGCCTTTGTCATTATATCTGAAGTCTATTGCCGTGTAGGAGTGTAATCCATTTCTATGACCCCTTGCTCTATCTTTTCTCTGATGAAGTGGCGATCGATCTTACATGCTTGGTTCGATCGTGATGAACTGGATTCTTAGCAATACTGGTTGCTGCTTGATTGTTACACATCAACTTCATAGGTGCATGAGGAGAGAACTGGAGTTCCTCAAGCAACCTTTTTAACCACATCCCTTCACAAATACCATGGGCCATGGCACAAAATTCAACTTCTGCACTACTGCGTGCCACAACCGATTGCTTCTTACTCCTCCAAGTGACTAGATTGCCTCAGACATAAGTACAGTAACCCGAAGTAGACTTCCTATCTGTTAAGGACCCAGCCCAGTTTTCATCTGAGAAAATCTCCACATCACGACTAGCTCCTTTTGAAGAATAATCCTTTGCCTGGAGTCATTTTTAAGTAACGTAGTATCATGTACACAGCTTGTTGATGCTCTTCTGTAGGGTTGTTCATAAACTGGCTAACCATACTCACTACAAAGCTGATGTCAGATCTTGTGTGAGATAAGTAGATCAACCTCTCGACTAGTCTTTGATATCTTCCCTTGTCAATAGCAGCTGCGTCTTCTTTTGAGCCTATCCTGTCGAATGGATCCATAAGAGTATCGGAGGGTTTGCATCCAAGCATTCTTGTTTCCTTTAACAAGTCAAAGGTGTACTTTCGTTGTGAAACTGAAATACCCTTGCTTGACCTTGCTACCTCCATTCCAAGAAAATATCTCAAAGCTCCTGGATCTTTAATCTCAAATTCTCCGCTTAGAACTGTTTTAAGTCGGGATATTTCCTCTTCATCATTCCCTATAACAATTATATCATCAACGTAGACTATGAGAATTGTGATCTTACCACCATGAAGGCTCTTAATGAAAAGAGTGTGATCAGACTGTCCTTGTGAATATTCCTCTCTTTTAATGACCTTAGTAAACCTCTCGAACCATGCTCTTGGGGATTGCTTAAGCCCATAGAGTGATTTCTAAAGTTTGCAGACTAGATTGTTACTACTAGAGTGTTTTAGACCTGGAGGAATTTTCACGTAGACTTCTTCTTCAAGATCACCATTGAGGAATGCATTTTTGACGTCTAGTTGATGCAAGCCCCAATCAAGGTTGGCTGCCAAGGATATTAAGACACAGATTGTGTTCAACTTCAGGACTGGTGCAAAAGTTTCCTAATAGTCAATCCCATAGGCCTGTGTAAATCCTTTTGCCACCAGCCTTGCTTTGTACCAGTCTATACTTCCATCTACCCTGTATTTGACATTAAAGACCCACTTACAACCCACATGATGTTTTCCCTACGGTAATTTAGTAATCTCCCATGTGCCATTCTTCCGCAGTGCTTGGATTTCTTCATTTACCTCCTTTCTCCACTCAGGATGCTGTAAGGCCTCTTGTATGCAGATTGGGACAGCAACATTCTCCAAATTTGTGATGAGAGCTCGAAGATTGGGAGACAGCTTCTCATAAGACACAAATTTTGAGATGGGATGCTAAGTACAAGATCTTACACCCTTTCTGTGGGCAACAAGCTTGTTGAGATCATCCATAGAATGTGTTATCTGTAGTGGAGGAAGAATCTATGTTACCTTGGATGACTTCGGTGGGATTTGGTCTCGGGACATCAATTTACAAGGCGTAGGAGGAAGCTCAGGATGTCGGTCAACTAGTTTAGGGTTCTTCTGATGCCTTGAGTAAACTTGATGTTCCTTGCCCCTAGACTCTTTGTCTCCTTGAATTTGACTTGGCTCTGATGGTGGTCCACTCGGCTCCAACGGTGGTTCACTGGAAATATTGGGTTCAAGTACCTCAAAGGAAGTGTCAGGCAAGGACATGTCTCAAAACTGATATTCTTCCTGTTGGTTGACTGAATTCTCCCCCTGAATATGAGTTGGTGTAAAAGGGCACATTTTCAAGAAAAGTCACATCCATAGTGTTATAGGTTTTTCGAGTGGTAGGACAATGGCACTTATACCCCTTTTGATAAGGGGAATAACCTATAAAAAGACACTTGACTGACTTTGGATCATGTTTACTTTGCTGATGAGAGGAGATATGGACATATGCAGAACATCCAAAAACTTTGGGAGGCATATTGGTTATAATTCGATTTTGAGGAAAGTTTTTGGAAAGAACTTGGCACGGGGTATCAAATTTCAAGACTCTAGAAGCAATTCTATTTATTAGGTATGTGGCAGTTAAAACTACCTCCCCCCAGAATTGCTTTGGAACATGAGTGGCAAACCTAATAGATCGGGCTACCTCCAGTAGGTATCTATTTCTCCTCTCTGTTATCCCATTCTGTTGAGAGGTATCTATACAGGAGCTTTGGTGAATGATCCCATTTTCTAGAAGGTAATTTCTAAGTATGAAATTAAAGTACTCCTTGGCATTGTCAATTCTACACACCTAAATCTTAGCCCGAAATTGTGTTTGAACCATGGAATGAAAGGATTTGAAAATAGATCCCGCCTCTGATTTTTCCTTCATAAGAAATACCCACGTAACTCGAGTATGGTCATCAACAAAAGTAACAAACCATCTAGCACTAGAAATATGTTGAACACGAGAAGGTCCCTAAATATCACTATGAATAACAGAAAATGGTTTTGATGGTTTGTAATTTTGGGGGGGATAAGAATTACGACAATGCTTAGAAAATTGACAAACCTCACATTGGAAAAGCTTGGGATTTTTATTAAATAGTGATGGAAACATCTTTGACAAGTACATAAAATTTAGGTGTCCTAGGCGATAATGCAATAACATGATTGTACTTTCTTTACTTGAATCTAAAGACAAGTTTAACCTAGGATCTTGAGTAGAGGAGGAAACATGATGTGCTTGAGGGGTCCTGTTTTTCTACAGCCCTAAATCAGTAGAGTCCTTTGCTTTCCTTAGCATTGCCAATCATCTTCCCCGAAGCCAAATCTTGAAACGAACAATGAGTGGAAGAGAATTTAGCCACACAATTTAAGTTTGAGTAAGTCTGCTGATAGACAATAAGAGGACGTTTAGTTGATGAATTCAGAATCATAATTCAGAACCATTTTCGATTTACGTGTATTTTTTGTGAGAGAAAACACTGTAGCGAGCCACGAACTATGATCTGAATCATGGTATGAATCTTTGAACCAAACGCACGCTAAATTGCATGAGATTGGGAACCAAAAGAACTTGGTTAAGAATTAGTGTCTCGGAGATGATCACTTTCCCAACACTAGTCACTGTGGAAAGGGAACCATCTGCAATTCTGACTTTGTAATTCTCGTGGCAGGGACTGCAATCATGGAGTAATGATACATCACCTGTCATGTGGTCAGAAGCTCTAGAATCGATGATCCAACCTGATGAATCCGCGGCTTTTGTATGTAAGGCAGTTAGGAAGTTACCTCTTGGAGCATTGGATCCAGTTGAGATAACCAGGGTAGGAGAAGATCCTTGACTGAACATCTTTTGCAACCACTCTACTTGTTCTTTGCTGAAGAGAGTAGAATCATTTGTGCTTCTTTCTTTTCCTTCAGAGTCAGCCACGAAACCTCGTGCCTCCTTTTCTTTGTTTGATTTCCAGTCTGCGGGCTTCCCGTGTATTTTCCAACATGTTTCTTTGGTGTGATCTAGGCAGCGGCAATGATCACACCATTGTCTTCCTTTTTTTTGCCTTGCATCATAGGTGGAAGTGGATCCTCGGGAGACAAGGGCTAATCCTTCTTGCATATTTGTAGATCCTTGGGAGACAATGGTTGATCCATCCGGGAAGTTAGAGGATAGCCGAGTACCCATCATCAACTTCTTCCTGCTTTCTTCTCTTCTCACTTCTGAGAAAGCTTCTCGAATTGTTGGAAGCGGCTTGGTACCAAGGATTCTCCCCCTTACTTCATCCAGGGATTTGTCTAATCCCAGTAGGAACTTGAAGACCCTTTCTTTTTCGATGATCTTCTTGTACCAGCTTGCATCTCCAGGGCACTCCCAATCCAAAGTCTCAAACACATCCAATTGCTGCCAAAAACGACTAAGAGTGTTATAGTCATGAGTCACAGTCATCTCACCTTGCCTCAGATCATGCAGGGCTCCCTTGATGTCAAAGAGATCAGCGGTATTATCACTGTCAGAGTAAGTTTCTTTTGTTGCCATCCATATCTCATGTGCAGTGTCATAGAATAGAAAATTTTGACCGATTTCTATGTCCATTGCATTGATTAACCAAGACATAACAAGATTGTTCTCGGTATTCCACACCTTGAATTTTTTTATCATCCTTCTTTGGTGGTTCTGTGGTGCTGAAGAGGTATTCATCCTTACCTCTTCCTGTGATGAACATCAAAACTGCCTTTGCCCATTTATGGTAATTGTGGCCGGTTAACGTGTGCCTTGTGATGAGTAATGACGAACCTTCTGCACCACCATTGCTCACGAGTTCTTCACCAGATACTGTTCCAGTGACGCTGCTTGTTTCTGAGGCCATAGAGGAAAGATTGTGGCCTAAGAAACTCTATGGAACAACAATCTAGAACAAAGGAGGATGCTTGGTTTGCACCCATAAACCAAGAAAAAAAGGAGGAAGTCTGGTTTTAAGTTTCACCATAAAAGAAGATTAAGATGTGTTCTGGTTTGAATCAGAACCGAGAAGACGTAAGAAACTGGTCCAGGTAGCCTTGCTCTGATACCATGAAGAAAACCAGAGAGAAATTTCTTCTATCTTATTCATTCTGCCGAAATATACATTTATAGGAAGAGGAGATTACCAACAGCAGCCTGGTAATTCCTTGATTCAATCTGTCAAATCCTACATAAAAGGAAACTAACAGCTATCTACAGAAATTAATCTACAGCTATTTACAGCCTAGCAAATCTCCTATTTACAGCCTATTATCTTCAAAATTCCATAATACCTTTGGTGGTAGGTGATTTGATAACAGTGCATTTGTCCTTCGCAATATAAACTGAAAAGAATGTTTTAAAGTTAGTTCGTGTTTCATTGAATAGTTAAGGCATCTGAAACAAGTGTCAGGAAGAAAACAAAAAAATAAATAAATAAAAAGACTTTTTTTTTTACCAAAGAGGTAATCGTAATGTAACCTGATTAACTTTTGCACTAAGTTCAGCAGAGCGCTCAACACCTAGCTTCCTCTCTTCTTCAGTGGCATTGGGTTCTCGTCCACATATAATAGGTGCCTTAATAGAACATATGTCAAAGTGTGAAAACAGAATAAACATACCCAAACAGTGTGAAAAAGAAGAGAAATCATAGACAAAATAGAGCACTAATAATGAGAAAGAGATATTACTTCATATGCCATTCTAGTAGTTAGAGCTATTAATCTTAGGGCCCGTTTAGTTCGCTTATTCGAGCTTTTAATTCGAATTGAGATGAGACTTTATGTGAGAACTTTTTACTGTAGCAAAAAGTTAGATGTGATTGTTTCTGAGAGCTTTTTTACTGTAACAAAACTCGAATTCTAAACTCAAATCGGTGAAATGAACATGACCTTAATTTATGTTCTACAGTTTCCAGCTCGAATTAGTTAATCAGATGGCATAGAAAAGCACATTATTATATAGCATCGTATTTACAAAACGGCAAAATAATGCTGCCTGGAGAAGATTTCCAGCGGATTGGAAAACTTGCATAATTTAAAGCTTATTGTCATTTCTGTTTCTTTCAAGAAAACTTAACCACCAATGGGAATAATGACATAAATCATACTTGGCAGAGAAAATTAACATGTAAATAAGTAGATCACCTCATAGTATCGGCGAAAATGTGCAACGTCACCCAAAATTCCTGGATTAGTAAAATTAACCATTGCAAAGAACTCTTCTAGGTCGTTCTGCAGGATTAAAGAGAGAGAACTACTAAATAACAGAAGAAATTGGAATCATGACTTAATGCACTAGTTTCTTTCACCTGCATTGGAGTTCCAGACAACAAAATCCGCCGCTTGCATGGAAGAGCAGCCAATGCCTGAAAGAGGAATTTTAAAATGTTATTGGAATGTAAAGTAGTTCCTAGTTACTAGTTTTTTTTTTTTTAATGGAAAAACTTAAACTCTTAAACATTACCCGATTTGTTATAGTTTGATCATTTTTCAACCTGTGAGCCTCATCACAAATGAGAAGGTCACAAGATTCACTGTGGCTAAATTTTGATGAATGCATCCGGAATGTCTCATATGAAACAATAAGTACCTGGGAAAGTACTTAATGTAAGTGCATATTTCAAAACATAAAGGCTAAAAAGAAAGAGGAGGGTGGACAGCCAGCGGAAAGTGCATCTTTTAAAGTTAAATGAGCCAGCTTGCTCATATATTAGAGACTAGCCTGTGAAGAACTGCGCGGACTGGTGAATCTATCAATTCCAGAAACAACATCGTCTCTGGTGCTTTCACATAGAGCAATGAGCTGAACTCTTTCTCCAATCCACTTCTTGATTTCAGCTTCCCAATTGCTTACAAGACTGGTAGGTGTGACAATGATGGCTTTTTTGACCATTGGCTTCCCATCAAACCCTTGAAAAAGAAGAGTATAAAGTAATGTGATTGACTGCAATGTCTTCCCCAAACTGCAAAAGATTCAAAATCAAGAACTAACCCGCTGGCATGAACACTGAAAATATTATCCAAAAGGAAAAATGAAATTGAATTCCTTTATTATCGACACTCACCCCATATCATCTGCCAGAATGCATCCAAATATATTGGCAGAACTATATAACCCCGAAACACATTCAAACATAAACTGGACGCCTTCTCTGTATCAAAATTAAATCTCATCAAACTTTTCACCCACAGGAATGCAGCTACCAACACGTTATCAAAGTTAAAGCAGTTCAAGATAAAAATTTTTAATCATAATATATCTGTAAAAGGAAAGGAACACAGAAATTAAAACTAAAGACTGTTCACAGATGACAACATGGCATAGAATTGTGAATATTTTTCTAGCGAAAGAAAAAGAAAGAAAAAGATTTCTAGATAAAACCCAAATGCTGATAATACTACAAACCCAATATCTGAACAGACCTCTGGTGGGGTCGTAAGAAACGTACAAGCAATGGATCCACTGCAATCTGAACCATATTAGCATCTAATTCTTCAGATTGCCACAAGACAAGAGGATCGAACCCCGGGGGCAGAGTCACAATCTCCTCCACTACATCTTTCTCAGCAGTGTCTGGTATATTCAAACGATTGGTAATTGCCACCAGAGCTGGCCTTGAAGATCCCCAGGGAACAAATCTTTTGCGGGCCCAGAGACGGCGGGCAAGCTCATCATTTTGACTGGAATAGCCATCAGAGCACGGGGGTTTAAAGGGCTTCCTACAAACTGCTGATCCTTCAGTCACCGACAGAACTCGTGGAAGTAGCGACTGCCTTTTCACAACGAGGTTACCTCTGAGATTTAAATCACAAACATCAACAAGAGCTCAAATAAAATTTAAAAAAAAAAACCTCTATAAACATCCCAACTTGAACTGAATCTGTAAAGGTCAAAATTTTACTAACATGAGAACAATTACACAAATGATAAACACTGAATACAACCAATAGAGCTTGAAAAGTTTATTAAAATCCAAACGACACAATCCTTCACTTCAATTGGAATCATGACACCACGCGTCTTACGTCTAAATCACTGGCTTCATTTCCAAATCTCACCATTTTCTCAACAACCAGAGGGAAATTAGAATTAAGCAAACTTCAAGAAACTAAAAAGGGAAATTCAAAACCAATACACGCAATTTCAGACAATACCAAAATTGAAACCCTAAACACAAAATTACGAGGGTAAAGGCTCCGTTTCTCGAAACCGATTACGCCAGAGACCGGAAAATCTGCCGTACCTGACAAGGGCATCGACGTTCGTCGACTTCCGATCTTCATCGGATGGAGGCTTTCGGTGAGCGGTGGATGATGGCTGAATAATCTTGGAAACGACTTCGACGTCGCTGTCGAGCTCTTCTTCTTCGTCGTCGTTGTTGTCTTGGCAGTCGGCAGTGAACTCCTCACCGGAATCGGAATCGGAATTGGGATCGGAGGTTTCGGAGTCGGAGAGAACTTCATCTTCGTCTTTCATTGGGAAGCCTCGCGTAACCTTCTTGAAATGTCGGCGTCTCTGCAAGAGTTCTTTGTTTAAATTGCTAATTTTGGCGCTAAAGTACGGGCGCGGCAAAAGTCTACCGTAGAGAAACTTGCTAGTACAAACGACGTCTGCAATATGGTACATCTTCCGTGCGTTGGATCGTGTTCTGAAATATATTGTATGTAAACTAGAGGTGTCAAATGGCCCGGCCCAACCCGCAATAGTGTCTAATTCAGCACGGCCCGATTCGCTATTGTTACGGGCCGTGTCGGTATGTGGAGGCCCGCGGTATAACCCTTATTCAGCTCAGCCCAAGCCTTGATTCGGCCCTTGTTCGGCCCGGCCTAAGCCCGCGAAACGGCCCATGAAACAGCCCATTTCATTTGGTCCAGGCCTGCCGGCACAGCACGTGACGGGCCTCCCATTGGGCCCTTCACGTGCCTCCCGTTTGGCACGTGACGGGCCAAACGGGAGGCCCGTCACGTTCCGGACATTGGGCCCGCGAAGGGCCCAACGGCTAAAATGCTCAAAATCCATAAATTCACCCTCAAAATCCCCTATAAATACTCCTTAATTCCACCATAAATCTCATACAACAATTCACTCTCAACTTCTCATCTCACTCTCATTCTATCTCTCAACTTGTCTCTTTAATTTTGATTCTAAGCTTTTTTCTCGCATTCATTCCTTTTCTAGCTCTTTCATTTACAAAGTTCTATCAATTTCCAGAAAATGGTTGCACCAAACTTTCCTGATTTCACTGCTCTTCCTGAGCTTGGTGATGAGGCATTTTTTGAGGATGAAATGATGCCTACCAACCCCAACCCTATTGAACCAGAAAATGCTCCGATAGATAATGCTTTAGTACACAACGAGGAAGCTGAAGAACACAGCAGAGGAAAAAGATCGCGAACTTTTTCGGCATGGCAGCATTTCACCGAGGAGCCCCGACCAAATCCAAAAACAGGTGAGATAAAAATTCGTGCGGTATGTAAATATTGTAAAAAGCACTTTTCTAATAAAAAGGGTAGGGGTACTGGTCATCTGGATAGACATTGGAAAGTATGTCTACCGTTGCACCAAGGTGGGAGTGTGGACTCCCGCCTGTTGGTCTCCGAATCGAATTCGGATGCGGAAGCGTGGTGGTGCGGAGAAGAGAGGCGGATCGTGTATAACAAAAATTTTTATATAAAATTTTTGAGATACTCTATAGATTATATTAATTTATGCATGAATAAATTAATCTCATTAACTTATATATATCAAGAACTCAATCAGGAAAAATACCTGGAAGCCGACTCGGATGATAACTTGAGTTCTTTGACCACGAACAGTCCTTGCTCCAATCGTTGTGTTTAGAAAACCAAGAAGACGTGTGTGTGGGCACACATGAGACAAAACGGGTTACAATAAACACTCGAATTTCCACAAACACCAACGCATGCACGATGTGGAATTTTTGGAGAAAATTTTTTTCCTTCCTTTCTCTCTTGAGAATTTCGGCCAGCCTTAACTCTTAGGGCATAAATTGTTTTCAAAAAATTGTGTTCACAATTTTCTATCATTCTCGTATTTAAAGAGTAGAAGTCAAACTTCAAAAAGGAATCAAATCTCTATGTCTAAGATAAAGCTTTTTAATTATCTCCTATTTGAATTTAAAACAAAATTTCCTCTTATCCTTATCCATTATGGCCGGCCACCTTAGGGGATTTTCATCCCTGTGTGGCGCCAATTTGCAGATAGGGAAGGAAGAGAAAATCATCCTTTATCCTGTAGTCCAATTTTATTTCAAATTCAAATTCGAATTTAAGTCAAACTTAAATTAATTTGAATTCTAAATTGAACAACTTATCAAATAAGTTCAAATAGATAATTCTAGATGTGTTCAAATTCAAATTTAAATAATCACATTATTCAAATAATAATTAATTCTCAATTAATTATTTTCGAGTATTTAATTTTAGAATTCCGTAATTCTAAAATT